TTAAAAAAAAAAAAAAAAAAAAAAAAAACCAACAACGAAAAAAAGTAATGATTTATTAGCATTTTTATAATAAGCAACATTTAATACCTATTAATGCGAGTTCAAACAGATCAGCGATTTAATTTCTTAATAAAATGAATCAGAAGAGTATTACTTATAGGAAACTGCATACTGTGAGCATGTTGCCTGTGTGTTTTGTGACCTTGATTCTTGTGGGTTATTAGAAGAGACAGAAGTGGAGGAGGAACCAGCGAGTTCAGAGTTCAGCCCTTCTCCAGTACTACTTTCCAAGCGGGAGGGGTTGGGGGAAGGGTGCCCCTGAGTTTTCATTTACCCCTACAAACAGCTCCATGTCACATCCAGGACAAGCAAGATGGGGGAAATGCAAAGTGGTATTTAAAAAAAATGCCACCCATGAGCCCAGCACTCCGGACGCTGAAGGGGGAAGACCATCAGTTCTAGGCCAGCAAGAACTACATAGTGAGACCCTTCCCCCCAAAACCCAAACCAACCAATCAACAGCGAAGGCAATCCAGGCCTCTGTGGGCCCCATTGGAATATCACTTACTTGATTAAGTAACTCCTTACATTTCAAACAGTGGCGGGCAGATGAAGCGGTAGAGTGGCGGGGAGATGAAGCGGTTAGAGGATTCGGGAATGCAGTTCCAACTCTAAGAGGTAGAAAACGGCCTGTGACGGGGTTCCCTCCTTCCCCTGGGGACTCACCGTGAAGGGTGTGTGCATGCAGAAAGGATTACTATGGGAATGAACGTACCCTGTCGTCCAACCCCTTGATGAAGCAGCACTTGTGAGCATCTAAGTGAAGAGGAGCAAAATGGACAGTGAGCAGAAGCCGCCAGGGTTTCAGCAAGAGTACAACAGGCTCCGAGCTACCCCGGGGTCACAGCCTTGAATGTGGGGCTCCAAGCCGTGACTGATCACAAAGAGTGAGAAGTCCCGTGGCTTCAGGGAAAGGAGGAGGTGCCGCTTTGGCAACACGGTTTAATTGATTCGAGGATTAGTGTTTTAGCCACTGGTGCTGATGCCGCTGGACTCCAGAACGCTCGAGGAGCTTTGGCCCAATTAGGAAGTCAGCTGGAGCCCCCCTGCCCGGGCGGCCATGTTGCCTGCTGTCTGATGCGTTGCCAATGTGCCTCAGTGCAATCACTCGGCGGCACTGGGATGATGTTTCAATTTAGCCTGCTTGCTCAGTCAGGACTCTTAAGAGCCTCATTGTCCCGGAGTGGGCTTCCTGCCTGGGTCTCGCTCCTCCTGCCTCTCCTCTCTTGGACACAGCTGTGACGTTGCTCACCGGGCCAAGTGAGTTGTCAGTGTCCCTGGGCTGCGGGTTGGCAGGTTTCCACTTTCAGAGCAGCACCAGCCAGCTTTCAAGGGGAGAATCGCAAGCTCTAGAGAGTCAGGTCTTGGAGTTTAGACTTCCGGAGTTCTCTGCGAGTCTGTATTGGGGTGGCCAGCGTTCCACAGTTGTTGTGACTGGGGAACATTAGCACCCAGTCTTGAACATGTGGGACAGGCAGATAGGAAATTCAGCCAGGGTAAATGCTGACCTGCCTGTTAGTGCTGGAGTCTTAGTGCTGGAGTCTCGGGGTGCTTATGGGAGAGATCTCAGGAGGTGCTGGATGGAGTAAGGGAGCAGATAGCAGATGTGAGGGATGTTAGAATGCCTGGCATTTATAAACCAGCCACTCCACACCCATGCTCATGGCAGCAACATTCACAGTAGTGAAGAGGCAGGAGTCATTCCGCCGTGGATGGCCAGGTAAGCAAACTGGCATGTCCGTGCTGTGGAATAGTCAGTCTTAAAGAGGAAGAAGTCCTACTGTCTAGAGTAACACGATGAGTCTGGATAATATGACGCTAAGTGAAAGAAGTAGAAAGGATACATTATCCTGACTGATAAAATTGTCTGATGCCACTTTGAAGAGGTAGGTTAAAGAACACAAATTCATAGAGGCAGAAGGAATTATGGGCTGGAAGGAGCGGGGCGTGGGGTGGGGTGAGGAGTCATTAATGGGCGGAGTTTCGGTTTGACAAGATGAAGAGACTGGCTGGTCCCACACCCATGTGCGTATAGCTAAGCGCTGACCGTGTAGGAAGGCTCAGTGAATGTCATGTTCCGTTCCCCACCACAACTGAAGATCAAGCAGCTGCCTTGGCCTGTAGAACGGCTGAGGATCAGCAGACTGGGGTCGGTTCTGGACGGCCTCACCTGGTATTGACCTCACGACTTGCTCTTTGTCTGCGCATCTTAGTCAGCGTAAGCTGTTCTAGCAGGACACATGACTACTACAGCAGCCTTTAACAACAGGCGATTATCTGTTCACTGTTCTGAAGGTCCAAGAGTCTGAGATCGGGGTGCCATCATAGCCAGGTCCTGTTGAACTCTGGCTAACTCAGGTGTCCACCTTCTTACTGGAAGCTCATATGACGGGAGGAGATATGGGAGGAGCTCTCTGGTCTGTTTCAAGGACAGTGTATCAGTCACTTTTGCACTGCTGTGGCTATATACAGTATCTGACAAAAATAAAGTAAGAGAGGAACTTGTTTGGGCTCACGGTTTTGGGGGGGCGGCGCATCAGGCCGCTGGTGGGAAAGCTGTGGCAGAGCAGCACAGCTCTCTGAGAGAGAGGTGGTGGAGGGTGTCGTGGGAGCTGATGGCGTCTCAGTGGGTCAGGGAGCAGAGAACATAACAGCAAACAGGGTCCGATATGTGACGGTGAGTCGTGATTGTTCACTCAATTGGATCCGGGATTAACTAAAAGACGTGCCTCTGGGTGGGTCTGGAAGGATTAACTGAAGGAGGAAGACTGATGGGTAGGACCTTGCATTGGAGGAGGTCTAGATATGAAGCGGCCTGGGGAGGGGGGGGGCCGAGGGCAGGGGGGGCAGGGGGAATGCTGTTCTGTCTGCCTGTCTTCGTTCCTTGCCAGTCAGTCTGCAAAGCCTGTTACTGTCTCTACTGCTGACATTGGTACCCAGCTCCTTCAGCCTCTCCACGTGGACTGTAGACCGCTGCTTTCCCAGGAATCCTGCCGGCCTACAGTGCCAGACTGGGACTGTGTGACCCGTCCCGCGGGCCAGGTTATTGGGGAGACCCGAGGAGGCACCTCCTGAAAGATCAATGGGGGCGAGAGAGAAAGGAGACCAGGCGCCATAAAGGAAGACAGAGTCAGTCTGAGTCGTGTCAAGGTCTCGTTTATTGACTGGGTATTGAGGCTTATAAGCAGGGCTTCAGGCAGGGAGGGGAGCAGGGGAAGCAAAAGGAGAGAAGAATGGAAAATTCCTAAGGAAGGGTGAGGTCGCATTGGTCCCAGGCCCCTGCAGCTGGCTGATTAGCAGGTACTCCAGGAAGTTGTACAGCCCGCGGTTAGTCCAGGAACCTGTTTTTTGCAAGGTTTGATAAAGTAAGGAAGGTCACACAAAATTCAAGACACAGCTGTCCGGAGTCGGTCTCTAACAACTTGTGGAAGCATCCAGTCTCACACGTTAAGAAGGAAGCCACCACGTTCCACCACGTCTCTGAAGCATGCCAATAGCTTGTACACCCTGTGAAGATGTAATTGCTGTGATCGGTATAATAAAAGGCTGAACGGCCAATGGGTAGGCAGGAGAGATAGGCGGGACTTCCTGGCAGAGACAGGAAGAGGACACACAGAATGGGAGAGAGGTAATATAAATGGATTAATTTAAGTTATGAGAGCTCATTGAGGCAAGCCTAAGCTGAAGGCCGAGTTTTCATAATTAATAAGAAGTCTCCGTGTTGTTATTTGGGAGCTGGCTGTACAGAGAAAGACTTGCTACATACGGCCTCTAACGTGGAGGCTCAAATAGCCAAGCATAGGGCCTGAGAAAGCTAAGAAAAGTTCTGGACAAGGAGTGGATGTAGATCCCTGGTCCTGCAGTCTCTGAGGCAGGCCAGTGCTGGGTGTACAGAGATGCAGCTCCCCGCCATTGCCTGCTGGCTTTAACCAGCCAGTGCCATGTGCCAGCACCACGCACAAAATGAGCCACGCAGTGGCTGCCATGACAGTTTAAGATTTGGCTCATGCAGTCAGAGAATGCTGCAGGTGTTTAATAAAGCCAGGTCCAGACCCAGAAAACCTCGAAAAAGGGACGGTATATTTAAAAATGTGCTTCGACGCTGAAGAAAGAAAATGGGTATAGACAGTCACAGAAAAAAGAAAAGGTTTAAAAATAATAAAGACTTTAAAGAGAGTGAACTCTGGGAAGAAGAAGGCAGGGCTGCCAGCTGGACGTGGAGGAAGCAGCATGGGCCGTATGGAAAGATGAGGTAAGGGGCCACATGACAAAATGTAGATTAAAATGAATGGGTTAATTTAAGTTATAAGAGCTCATTGAGGCAAGCCTAAACTGAAAGCCGAGTTCTCATAATTAATATTAAGTCTCCGCGTTATTATTTGGGAGCTGGTGGCCCCCCCCTCCAAAATCTGACTACACCTGTCTATCACATTAGCTAATCCAAACCTCATTGCAATATATTTTTATTCTGTTAGTCTTGTTCCTCTGCAGAACCGTGCCTAATACGCACTTCAAAGGCCTGATAACCTATTTCCACCAACTAGACGTCATTTCCTAAAGGTTCCACAGCCTCTCCAAATAGCACCCTGCGCTGAGGCATGGGTACTCAAATCATGAGCCTCTGAGGGACATTTCAGATTCAAACATAATTGTCACTCATCTTATCATGATGACAATTCTCTTAAGACTTCATTTAACCCCAACAACCTCCCACAGGCTTTATCTCCAAAAACCATCACACTGGGGCTTCAACTGAATTGGTGGTCGGTGGTGGGAGGATGCGATTCAGTTCACGGTATGTCCTTCCCCCAACCATGTATCCAACAGACATACACTGAACTTCCTGCACTCTAACCCCCATATCTTCTGCTCTCTCTCTCTCTCTCTCTCTCTCTCTCTCTCTCTCTCTCTCTCTCTCTCTCTCTCTCTCTCTCTCTCAGCATTTCAGCCTCTCAGGAACATCGGGCCAGTTTCTACCAGCTCCCTAGGTCCCTGTGATGCAGACATGCCCCCCTGGCCCTTGGGGCATAAACATGAAGGCTCATGGCTCAGCACAGGACTCAATCCATTTGGACCCCGAGTTCCCGAGAATCCGTGGCCAAGCAGTCTTTCTATTATCGCTCGGTGATTGGAGTTTTCAGGCTTGGGATTACCGCCAATGGGAAGCAGATGGGCTTCGAATCAAGAAATAGGCACTTGAGCAGCCCAGCACCGCTCTGTTTGCGAAGAGGCTCTTAGGCCACTTTATGTGGCTGGAGATCATCATTTGCAGAAAGCCGTGCAGAAATCTCGCCAGCCCATGGGAACACCACCGCTCCAGGACGTTGTCCTGTCCTTCCTGCCCACTGCAGCTAAGCAGCCACCCAGGTGGGAAGCCTTGCTGCAGGACCGATGTCACCTGGGACCAGCCTGGCTCCCCCACCCCCCCACCCCGGGGGGAGGGAGAGAACCTCCCTTTTGCCCTAGCTGTCTGCTTCTTCTCTGCTATGAAAAGCTCATAGAAGCCCTCATGACTCAAAGCACAGTTCCTGACCCCTCCTCACACCTCCCCGGATTTCTCACCCACCAAAGCCCAGAGACCAAGGGGTGACATATCCGGAATGGTACGGCCTTGGGCGAAGAGCTCAGATGGGTAGCGGTGGCTCTTGACTCAAGGACAGGGAAGTGGCTTTGCAGAGTGATGTTTCCTGGGGTTTCCTGACCCCTGGTCTCTCAGTTAATCTTGCCCTTTCTTCCTCGGTGAGGTCATGTCAGCCATCATGCATTTACATAAGGGGCCCTTCCTCCCCACATCACGCCACCCCCCTTCCCAGTTGCTAAAAGGCGATTTAATATGCAGAAGCTCTGCTAGACAGCATTAGGTTATGACACGAGAAACTGGGAAAAAAAAAATCCAGGCCCCAACTCTGCCCTTCAGGTGTCCTCCTGAGAGACAGAGACAGAGAGAGAGAGAGAGAGAGAGAGAGAGAGAGAGAGAGAGAGAGAGAGAGAGAGAGAGAGAGAGAGAGAGAGCCATTGTTGGCCAAGGGCAGAACAGGCAGGCTGGGAGTCTGGAATGCAGAGAACACCTGGGAAACTGAGGCCACTTCGTCTGTTCTCAAAGGAGTGTTGAGACTCGTGGGAGTTCTCATGTTCAAGTAGGTCCCAGGACCCGACGCTTCCTTCCTTCACTCTGCAGCAGGCACAGGGACCTCTCCAGACAGGGAGCGAAGAAGAGGACGTGAACTCTCTTTCAGCTCAGCCCCTTGGAAAGATGCCTTCACTCACCGGCGACTACCTCACTTAGCCATTAAATGTCAGCGCAGCCCCGTTCACAGGGGGGAGAGAGTCCACATCTCACAGCGGGGGGGGGGGGGGGGGGGGAGGTGACGGTGTGAAAAGTTGTGAAATGACATTTTTTTTTCCAGTAGGTTTGTCATATCTCCTGCATGGAGGAAAATTGCATTCTGTAAATCTCGGTCCCACAGAACAAAACACCTATTTCTTTCCAGTTGGGGAGACGGCCGTTCTCATCGGCATAATGAAGGTATTGTAAGCTGTGACTTTTACAAAGTCGGAGGGAAAGCAATCTACAATCTTGGCAGATATGATCTTTCCGGAATGCACACTGTTCGTTTACGGCAGCGAGAGACCTCAATTAATTTATGAGCGAGGACAGCAGGATGTGACCCCGTGTGCGTAGTCTAGGTGGAGCTGTCCCTGTCTGAATTTATGTTCTGGTAATTTAAAAAGATTTATATTAAGCTTTTCTTTCATTTGGAGAGTAGATTAAAATTCTAATGGAAACCATTTGTATGCATTTGTTGAATTGAATAGTATTTATGGCTGTGTAAAAAAAAAAATGCGGCGAAATTCTGCCGATAATAAAGTCAGTGAAGCAAGAATAAGTGTAAAAACAGGAAGGAAACACTCAATAGAAACCATACTGTATTATACAAGCATAATGAAGAAGAGAAGCCGAGCAGAACGGGGCAGGGATTAGGCCCCCGGATGGGATCCTTTTCCTTATTTAGCGTAAGGTTTTTATTGCCCTTTTATGACTTAAAACCGAATTTAAATTTCAAAATAAGCCGGACCCGGTCCTTACAGACTCCGTTTGGGCCACGTCGTCCTTTCCCATCATTGCTGAACTCTCACTGGTATCCAGGACAAACAGGCAGGAGAGAAAATTCAAGCTGCATCTCCGAGAGAGAAAATGTGCGGATGGTGGGGGAAAGATGTGTTCAGCAGGAGGCCGGAGGTCAGTGAGGAAAGCCAGAGTCAGCTGCGGGCTAGAGCGGGTGGGGGGCAGGTCACCCACACACCTGGGTGAGACCTGGGAAGTCGTGGTACCTGGCCCCCACATCCGTTGCCATGGCTACCCGACTAGCGGCTCTCCCGGAGCTGCCTCTGTGGCACCCACAGCAAAGGGCAAGGTGTGTGGCCACAGCCCTGTTAGTGGCCTCTCACCGGGCCAGGGAGGGGAGTGATGAGGGCAGGCCAGACGCTACTCTCCATGACAACTGTGTAGCACCCTCTCAGTGTTGTGGCGCACAGGCAGGAGTTGACACTCAGGACCTGACCTTGTAGAAAGAGCAGGCCAGTTTGACAGGATGTCCACATAACATCCCAGATGCGATTTGAATGAGACATGCCCCCATGAGTGTGTGTGTGTGTGTGTGTGTGTGTGTGTGTGTGTGTGTGTGTGTGTGTGTGATGTGTTTGGAGTGCATGGTCTTCAGCTGGTGGAGGTGTTAGGGAAGGCTGTGGCATCTTTGGGATGTAGACCCTCCCTGGAGGAAGGGAGGTAGGGGTGGGCTTTGAGGTTTTGTAGCCCAGCCACACTTCTGCTCACACCCTGCTTCCTGAGTATGGGCACAGAGTGACGAGTCAGCCTCCTGCCCTTCCGCCATGCCTTCTCTGCCTGTTCTTCCCGACAATGATGGACGGTATCCCTCGGAAACCGTTAGCTGAAATAAACCCTTTCTCCCTTCAGTTACGCCCGTCAGAGTACTTTAACACAGCAACAGAAAAAGAAGCATACTGAGGTTGAGAGTTTTACTGGGAATCTCACATTTTCTCACCGTCTGGAGACACCCAACGTCATGGTTGAGCAGCAAGAAGTGGAGAGGTAGCAAGTGGAAACTTCCAGAGAGATCATGGCTGTTCTTGTGCAGCTGCCTGCCTCTCTACACACCTGTGCGTGCATGTTCCCGACCGGAGCTGCACAGATGTCATGGAACATCTTTCAGTATGGGAGATCAGAACGGTGTGCCAGCACATTCCACAGACATGACGTGATGTGGCTGCCCAGAGCCTGCATGGAAAATAGGGGGACATCTCATGAAAACAGACTGTGTTCTCTTCCAATCCTGAAATGCAGTCAAACAGGCCAAGGAGTTCTGTGAAGCAAATATTATCTTCATGTTACCCAGAATACACACTCCCTCCTAGGCTTGAGTCAAGCTTTTACTTTCTTTTACCCAGAATACACATTCCCTCCCAGGCTTGAGTCAGATTCTTTACTTTCCTTTGTCCTTCTCTTGAAATGAGCCTGTCTGGTGATCTGTGGAGCCTTGGTACCCGGCGAGTTCTTGGGGTACAGTGAACACTTCCTACATCTGTGTTACCCGAAACAAGTATGCTCTGGGCCCCAGAGGGACACAGTGTGAGTGAGTCAAAGAACTCTGCAAACAGAGGCCAAAGGCCTCCCCCAGGATGGTAATGCCTCTGTTGTGTGTGCACTCAGCTCTAGGGCCTCAGCTTGATATGAAGTGACTGGGGACAAATTTTCAGTCACTTCTCTTCTGTGAACTGCTCTTCACCCCCAATATTATAAAACACAGCTTTCTGTGATTTAATGAAATTTCCACCGTAAGCCAAGCACTAGACATTTTACATATTCTTATCCTTATTAGATTCCCAAATTAATCCTAGCAAGCAAGCGACATCCCTGTCATCCCATTCCGCGATGAGAAAAGAGGTTGAAGAGGGATTTGAAACCTTGCCAATTACTCTCACTGCTGAGTGGGAGGCGCAGAGGTGGAGTTCGTATTTGGTTCTAAGACCAGGTCCCGTTCATATAATCAAGTGTCTGTGAGCTACTCACTGGTCATTTCCTATGCCTGGCAGAGAGTGCAGGGTGGGTGGGGGTGGGGGGAAAATTCATTCCTTTTGTCCTGAAGAAATTCACAGGCTATTGAGGAAATCGGTACATGGACCAAAACTTATCAAACAAGATGAGAATGGCCTATAAAGTCACGGTCTTGGCCACACCAGCTCACCACAGGATGCAGTAGGGATAGCAGGGTCGTCCAGAGGAGAGAAACTCACACTGTTGTGAATTCTTTTGCCAGGGCAACGCCATGAGTACCGAGGGTATCGAGAGTGATAGGACTGCACTTGACTGTCACCTAGTCACTGTGACCTCCTCTGACTCCTTTACATGATTCCCACCTCCAGAATATCCCCATGTTCCAGTCGCTGGAACTTTTGAATGTGTGTGTGTGTGTGTGTGTGTGTGTGTGTGTGTGTGTGTGTGTGTGTATTCAAAATGTATATATGTATTCAAAAACTCAGGTACACATAACTACTCTGGGAACTGAGGTAGGGAAGTGATACCAAGTTGGAAATGCAGGAGGAATAGGAGGATGTAGCAGGAATTGTTAGAAGGTCTTATTAATAAAAACAAACCTGGAGCCAGGTGTTGGGGTGAACGATCAGAGAAACAGAACCAGCCACAGCTAACCTCACCTCGCCAATTCCTCAGCGGATCTCATTTCCTCAAACTGGAAGCCTCTGTGTCCTCATCCGAATGGATCTCAGCTGAACTGCTGCTCAAAAGCCTAAGAGCTTAACCAGGCTCTAGTTCCTGGTCCTCACGCCTTATATACCTTTCTGCTTCCTGCCATCACTTCCAGGGATTAAAGGCCTGTGTCATCATGCCTGGCTGTTTCCAGTGTGGCTTTGAACTCACAGAGATCCAGATGGACCTCTGCCTCTGGAATGCTAGGATTAAAGGCATGTGCTACCACTGCCTATCCTCTATGTTTAATATTATGGCTGTTCTGTTCTCTGACACACACACACACACCCCAGATAAGTTTACTGGGGTGCACAATATATCAACCACAGGAAAAATAGGAATTTTTTTGAAATACACACACACACAGACACACAGACACACACACACACACACACACACACACACATACAATCACCTTCTGTGGTGAAATGAACATTGCTGATATGATTAACGGCACTGGAAAATGGAGGAAGTCGTTCTGGACTTATCTGATTGAGCCTAACCTTTTCAGAGGGGCGCCGGGTACCAAATAAAAGAGATGAAGTTGAACGACTGGCTTTAGAAATGGAGGGAGGAGCCACGATGAGCCACCGGAAGACGACAAAGGCCAGGAAGCCCCAGGAAGAAACCAGTCCCGCGGACACCCGAGTTCAGCCCTGCAGGACTTGTTTTGGATTTCTGACCTCCAGAGCTGTACAAGAATAAACTTGGCCTTTAAAGCCTCGAGGGTCTCTGGTCATTTGTTGAAGTAGAAATAAGAAACCAGTGCTGCCCACGCTCACTTGCGTGTGCTCCAGCTCTGACTTCCTCTTCTCAAGTGCAAGGTCCGTGAGACCAGACTTGGTCTGTTGTTGACGGCTGCATCCTTAGGGTCCGGAACAGAGCCTGGCTCGGGAACGGCACATCGTGAATGTTTGTGGAATGGGTTAAAACAGACAAGCAAGTGCAATTGTAGGAAGGGGGACCAGGCCATGGAAAAGGCCTCGAGGTATGAAAGATCTGAAACTCAGGTACGTATAGCTACTTTGGGAACTGAGGTAGGGAAGGAACACAGAGTTGGAGATGCAGAGGGGATGGATACAAGGTGGGAGTTTTGTTTCCTCTGTTCTGTAGATGAGTAGAAGATTGATGGGCTTTTCATAGTGTAGAGATGTGATAGTGCTTCCCTATTGATTTTTAAGACCTTTAAAAACTAACTGACCAAGCCAGGCCTGATGATACACGCCTTTAATCCCAGCACTCTAGAAGTAGAGGCAGAGGCAGGCAGATCTCTATGAGTTCCAGGCCAGCCTGCTCTACATAGCAAGTTCCAGGACAAGCAGGGCTACCTAGAAGGACCTTGGTCCTCCCCCTCAAAAAAAAAAGACCAACTTGTATGAGGTCCTAGTAAAGTGGCAAATAAAATTGAGTTGGGAGTGTGTTGGTAAAAATATCTAATTTTTTTTTCATTGTTAAAGTTTTAGAAGGAGGCAAAGATTTTTTTTAAAAAAAGTTGTCAGTCTCCTTGATGGAGTTGACCACTGTTAATATCTTGCTGTAAGATTTCTTTTAAACCTTTTGAACTGGGTTTATATTTTATATACTTACTGAACTGGTCCCCTTCGGCCCTTAATGTAAATTTTCCAGTACCATTCAATATGCCCTGAAATGCTGCATTTAGTGATGACATAGACTCACACCGTACCACCAGAACTGTTGATTTCATCTGTTCTTTCTAACTACCCATGTATTTTGTGCCCTCAATAATTTTATTTTGAGTAGCAATCATAGCACTGGCATAGAGCAGGCATTCAATACTTATTGAGTGAATGAATAGATGAACAGTTCAGAGAACATTTTCAGATATAAATCTTTGTGTGTGAGTCTTTCTCTAGGGGAAAAAAATTCTTGCAAGCAAATGGTGTTGAGTGTTACGGTATTGTGTTTGTAATGGTTCTTGATGCAGATGGCCAAACTGCCTTTGAAAACGGTAGGAACAGACACAGTCCTCCAGCAAATAATTCCACTGCACCGATGTTGCCGTTTATAATGTCTAAAAACCTGTATTTGTGCTTTCGAAGAGTTTCTATGGGAACGGAGAAATAGCAGTGAAGGGATCTCTTGAAGTTCAGGCAGATAATGGCCGGAACCTGAACTCTAGCAACGGAGTTCTCCGAGAAAGGAGACAGATGTGAAAGCTGCAAGGTTGTGGGGCCTAGAGGACTTGAAGGCAGAAAGATCAATGGAGGCGTTAGAAGGATCCTCGGGCTTCTGCCTTAGGTGGAGTGTTAGTTAGGATCCTTTGTTGCCAGTGACAAGAGACCAACACGGACTTAATTAAGCCTAGCTTCCGTGTGAGGATCTGGGGCAACTCACAGAGTCAAAGCTAAGGCGCCGGGCTCCAGAAAATTGGGACGGCAGCATTTTGAGATGTCAGAGGCTGAAAGGACTGGACAATATCCCCTCAGGACCCCGACCTCTGGGTGTGTCGATTTTTGTGTCCCCTTACTTTGGGTTCAAATTCCAGAGAGAAGGGTCAATCTGATCTACTGTGGGACAAATGTCCATCCTGTGGCTAGAGGCAGGGGAGTACTTTGACTCACAGTCCTATTGAGAAGAGGAACGGGTCTATACTGTGACTAGAGAAGACCAATTAGATAACGTCCCAAATGCAAAGATCCATGGCTGGCCTCTTCTCCATAGGGGCGGTAGTTGTGGCATCAGGGAATATACAGATGGGGTATTTTGGATAAAAGGAGTGATCCCAAGTTCACGCATGCACCCCACTTAACAGTTCCTACTTGTATCTCAGTGTTTGGTTGGACACAGACAACAAATAGAAAGACACAAATCCTCCTTCACATCTGCACCGGTCTCCTGGCATAGATCCCTCATTCATCCTGTGCCACGTCCAGCATACAGCCTTTACTGAACCCACATGTGGCAGTTAGCCAGCTGACCAGTGACATTTTCAAATTGTTTTATCGTGCCATGAAGTTGCTCATGGGAACAGCTGCTCATCCTGACTCAGTCTGGGTTTCCAGTCCCACGTGCATTGAGTTAGATCGATGAAACTGCGTCTCACTCATGGGAAAATGGACGCCCGTGTGTTTTCAGAAGCAGATGTGCTGGCGTCTCCAAAGTACCACCTGGGAGGAGCTGTGTGTGCCAACCAGTGACTTCTCATCGGCAGGCAGAGGAGAAATAAACTTTGAACATGTTGAATCATTGAAATATTGGGACTTACTTGCTGCCCCCACTAAGTAATGACTTCCTAAACACTTATCGATACTTGCTTAATAAAGAATTTCAGGAGCAGTGGATGAAAATGACCCTCTAAGAGAAGTATGTTTCCCCAAAACATGAGAAATTACCTAGCAGATCTACCCCTGGATCTCTACAAAATATTGCACATGAATTCACACAGCAACATTGCATATGACAGCCCCCCGCCCCATGGAAGCCCAACTAGCCATCCATTAATGAGTGGATTAGGGAAATGTGGTAGATCCACAAAATACAGTTGGCCAGTGACGAGGAATAAAATACTAATCTATACGACACAATGGATGGACTCTGAAAATATACCAAGTAAAAGAAACCAAAGCAAAAGTCCACGTGTTATATGTGGTTCCATTTCTATAGAATATTCAAGACAAATGAATCTACAGGAGAGATCAGATTGGTTCTGTGCTGGTTGGTTTTTGTCAACTTGACACAAGGTAGGGTCGGTCATCTGGGAAGAGGGAAACGCAAATGAGAAAATGCCTCCATCAGAGTTGGCCTGTAGGCAAGTCTTGGGGTATTTTCTCGATGAATGATTGATACGGGAGGGCTGAGGCCACCGTGGGAAGGGCCACCCCTGGGTGGGTCATTCTAGGTTGTAAACGAAAGCTAAATGTGAGTCAGTCCGCCGCGTTCCTCCACGGCCTCTGCTGCAGCCCTGAGTCTACGTTCCAGGCCTGCTGGATTGCTGGGTTCCCCTGCGGATGGACTGTAAGCGCTCTAGCATGAGTAAACCCTTTCCTCCGCAAGCTGCTTTTGCTCACGGTGTTTGTCGGCACCCACAGAAAGCAGACTGGGAGAGGGGGTTTCCCTAGGGTTGTCAGGGAGAGAATCGGAAATAACTCTCACAGGTGTGTAGTTTATTTTTAGAGTGATGAAAATTTTCTAAAATCTGTGGCTGTTAACTCTGGGAATATACCAGAAGCATTGGATAGGTTATTATTAATTATTATTATTATTAAGCTATACTTAATAAAGCTTTTTTTCTGAAGAGAGAAAAACACAGAAAATAAAACAATAGGAAGAAGAAACAACAGAGCCTGACGGATCTTTCTAGCAACAAAATCTCCCACAGGTCAAAGGAAATACAAAGTGGCAGGTTCTAGATGAAAATGGAGACATGTTTCAGCTCTGCGTGAATACACCAAGCACCTGTTTCACAGGGAGGGTGGAGGCTCTGGATTCCACAGACAACCAAGCTTAACGTCCACCTAAAGTGGGAGCGTGAAGATTGAGGGACAGGTGACCAAGGCCAGTACTAAAAACAGAGCAGCCACACATCCTTTTCGGGAAACCTTGAAGAAAGCTTTCAAGCCAAAGAGGCCTCACGAGAAACTGAAACAGCGAGAACAACAACCTTGTTAGTCTCAACAGTCCTGAAGGAGATCTGTGTGGCTCAGAAACATTCACAACCTGGTTAGAAACAGCTGAGCCAACCCCCACCAGAAGCTTGGGTGAAACACAAATTTCTCTATGGGAGATGGGACCAGAATCTGTGAAAAACGTTTTCATTTGAATGGAGAGAGAGAGAGAGAGAGAGAGAGAGAGAGAGAGAGAGAGAGAGAGAGAGAGAGAGAGAGAGACCGACGAACCTTTCAAATGGCCTGAATACGATCCTGCTTTGAAAGGACAGTAGGTAAAGTCCATTCATAATGACTAACTAAAAGCATCCTGGGCAAGAGAGACAGCTCAGGGTTAAGGATGCTTGTTGTCTGTCCTGACCTGAGTACAATCCTTGGGAAGTCAGGGTGGCAGGACCCATAAACTGCCCTCTGACTTCGTATGTACTATGGTGTGTACACATATACACAGACAAGCAAACAATAAATACATCTTTAATAAATAGACTATAAAAATAAAAATGCATCATTAGCCTGGCGAGGTGCACTTACCTGAATCTCAGCACTAGGGAAGGCCGAGGCAGGAGGATGCTAAGTTGGAAGCCAGACTGAGCTACGCGTTGTGAGTTCTTGACCAGCTTGGGCTACATCATGAGTTCATGGCTAGCTTGGATTTTATACAAACAAAAACACAAACTAGCCGGGCGGTGGTGGCACACGCCTTTAATCCCAGCACTCGGGAGGCAGAGCCAGGTGGATCTCTGTGAGTTCGAGGCCAGCCTGGTCTACTGAGCAAGATCCAGGAAAGGCGCAAAGCTACGCAGAGAAACCCTGTCTCGGAAAAACGAAAAAAAAAAAAAAACAAAAAAACAAAAAAAAACCACAAACAAATAAAAATGTACCTTATCTGGCAGTGGAGAAAAAAATGCTGAGAAAATGCTGACACTTTAATTTGGGAGGAACTGGTTTGCTTACACCCTTCATTGTGAAGTGTTCAGGCATCTGAGACCCTCTCTCCTCTGGACTCGGGTTTCTGCAACCCAGGCCACAACTCCTGGATTCCAGCCGATACGTTCTGCTGTGGTGTTTGGGAATACCATCACATTCACCTGTGTGTCGG